GATCATTAAAAACAAAATGTTGTTAAAAATAACTTAAAATATAACTTAAATAAAAAATCTAATAAAATTAAGTGAAAGATTCAAATGTAAAAAACAAAACTAACAGGTGAAGTTTATGAAACAGAAATCTTAGGCATCATGATTCTTATTAACAGGATGTTTGATTGATTGATTGATCACAGAGCAGTGCGGGACCCGGAGGACCTGGAGGCCCGGTCCAGCATGCACCTGGCCAGTGTGTTCGCTGGCATCGGCTTCGGAAACGCCGGCGTTCATTTATGGTGAGAAAAACAACTCAATCACAAACTATTATGACCATTTAAAGTTTGTTTACTCCTGAAACTGTACAGATTATGTGTTCCTCTTAAATATAATAAAACATGAGTTCATCTGTTTATTAACCCCACATTTACCGTGAACCCCTGAATTTGTTATCACGTTCATGTTTTAGAGCTTTTGAAGTGTTAAAAAACCTTTAAAATACCTTCATATGTTACCCTGATGGACACGCCTACATGATGACATCATTATTATTTAGTAAATGAATGAATTCTAGTTAAAAAAAGACAGATTTAATGTGTAGTTTCAATAAAGGCGTTTCTCTCTGCAGTCACGGGATGTCGTATCCGATCTCCGGTAACGTGAAGACTCACTTGGCGAAGGGTTACAGCGTGGATCACGCTCTGGTGGTGAGTGACGAGAAGACGACGCGTGAACGTTATAGTGAAGTTTCTAAAGATGATGTTTAGAGACTTTTCATAAACACGACTGTTAAACGTTGTCATGTTCAAATGCAAAGGACCAGAGTTATAAATATGTTCTATCTCTGGTTTAAAGAAAGAGAGACGATAACATGAAATAATTAACCTGAGAACCACAGAGGACCCGAACAGGTTCCCTGAGGAACTCCGCTAAAAAGATTAGAACCAAACCACAGCTGCTGTTTTTACAACGATCGCTGAGTCCGACTTGTTTTTAACTGTTAATCTAGAAGTTGTTTTAAAGCCGGTGTGTTAAAGTTGAGATGAAACACAGAAGAGACTCAACACGCCACTTAGAAGCGTTGCTCACAGAGACGCCCGGCTGGGAGATGCAGAATCTTTATAAAGTCAAGTTTATTAACTTTAAAGCTGTAAAACAAAACAGGTTGAATCCTAAACAGTGACTCACTTTGTGTGTCCTCAGCCTCACGGTCTCTCGGTGGTCCTCACGTCTCCGGCCGTCTTCAGCTTCACAGCCCCGATGTGTCCAGAGCGCCACCTGGAGGCTGCAGAGATCCTCGGTACCTGTTCGCCTCATAACACAACACAGTGGGCAAAATACTCCAGCTGTCTAACGAGGAAAGCCTTGAGCTCGACTGCAGCCACGTGGTCATAGCTGCAGCTACTGTGGGGCTAATGGCCGATGGCTAACGGCTAGCAGCTAATGCTAAGGCTCTAACATTAGCTGTGGCTGTGATCGTGGCTGTAGATCACTGTTATACATTAAATACGGGGATTCAAGGTTTGCACATCATCACATCAACCAGCAGCTACTGTGGAGCTAACGGCTAACATCCGATGGCTAACGGATAACAGCTAATGCTAAGGCTCTAACATTAGCTGTGGCTGTGATCGTGGCTGTAGATCACTGTTATACATTAAATACGGGGATCCAAGGTTTGCACATCATCACATCAACCAGCAGCTACTGTGGAGCTAACGGCTAACATCCGATGGCTAACGGATAACAGCTAATGCTAAGGCTCTAACATTAGCTGTGGCTGTAGGTCACTGTTATACATTAAATATGAGGATTCAAGGTTTGCACATCATCACATCAACCAGGAGCTAACGGCTAACATCTGATGGCTAACGGCTAACAGCTAATGCTAAGGCTCTAACATTAGCTGTGGCTGTAGGTCACTGTTATACATTAAATATGGGGATCCAAGGTTTGCACATCATCACATCAACCAGCAGCTACTGTGGAGCTAACGGCTAACATCCGATGGCTAACGGCTAACAGCTAATGCTAAGGCTCTAACATTAGCTGTGGCTGTGATCGTGGCTGTAGGTCACTGTTATACATTAAATATGGGGATTCAAGGTTTGCACATCATCACATCAACCAGCAGCTACTGTGGAGCTAACGGCTAACAGCTGACCTTAAACACTGCAATAACGGCACCGTCTCGCTGACGGTTCATCATGCCTTACCGACGGCTCACCTGTTAAAGACCTTTACCTGATGCACACCTGTGCTGCGTTCAGGTGCAGACGTTCGGCAGGTGAAGAGGGAGGATGCGGGCGCTCTCCTGGCCGACACGCTGCGTCGCTTCCTGTTTGAGCTGCAGGTGGAGGACGGACTTGGAGCGCTGGGATACGGTCCAGATGACATCCCGGCTCTGGTGAGAGGAACCCTCCCTCAGGTGAGTTTCACCTACCTGACGGGTCGTTTCTCCGTTAGTCCTCAGAAACAAACTGAATCCGTCCCTTTCTGCCTCCAGCTGATCTCTCCGTTCATTTATTTTAAAGAGATTTAACTTAAAACACCTTAAAATCCAGGTTATTGGTTAAATTAATGCAGTTATAATTGATCAAGGTGTCTTTAATGCCGGCTGAAGAATCTGCTGCTCAGGTTTAAAAGTACAGAAGTGATGCCTCTAAGTGAACAGGAGCCTGGAGGCCTCAGGACTGGGCGTTCCTCTCAAACTGTATATATCATGATCGATTCATTGGTTTCCTCCTGACTTGGTAAATGAAACTTCCTTTAAGTCGGCAGCTCAACTCTTTTCAGACGAATGTGTTTTAAGAGGATCTGAAGGGATCTGGAGTTTTAGATTTACCATCTTTGTTTCAGGAGCGAGTGACCAAACTGTCTCCCAGAGGACACACCGAGGACGACCTGAGCCAGCTGTTCGCTGCCTCCATGAAGCTCTACTGACACTTCTACTAATACTACTACTGCTAGTAATACTACTACTGCTACTAATACTACTACTGCTACTAATACTACTACTGCTACACCTGCTGCTGCCACTGAACACTGACCATCAGTCACTCTGCTGGTGTTTCTCACATATTGATTCTATTTTTACAGACTGAATATAAATAAAAAACAGACTCCTATGTTGCCGTCGTGCTGTTTGTTTAACTTCATTTCTGTAGCCCGTTAAAGAACAAATGTTGCTGCCCGAAGTGTTTTCCAAACTCAGGACACACAAACGCAGCAGAGTGTTGAAGCTTGAGCATCGGACAGAGGCGGAGCAGAGCGCTCTGATCAGAGTCCATCCGGCCAGTGTGCAGCGACTGGACACGTCAGCAGAGACTTCATTCTGTTTTACTTCTGATCTCTTTAGTTGAAGCGTTGGAGCCGACCTGCAGGCTGCCAGCGGAGCCCGACGAGCTGCAGAGGCGGCAGGTGTCAGGAACATGAATTACTGATAACACTCTTTATAACAAACACCGTGTTTCTCAGAAGAGCCTCTCGTTGGTTTAATCCGGTTTAATCTGATCCAGGAACAGTTGTTATATAAAGCTGATCTGACCGTGTTTAACTGGTTTAACCCCGAGAGCAGAAAACAAGCTGAACACAGCTCGCCGTCACGAACACACCTGAGCTCACCTGTTCATACTGGAGTCATCAGGGTCACAGCTGACTTCACTTTATTAACCAGTGAACCTGCTGGGACACCTGAACGCACCTTTAATCACTTTGCCAGCAACCAACGAAGAAGTTTTATCCAAGCAAGGTTCAAATAACGTGTCGTCATGTCGTCCAGCAGCCAGTAGAAGATTTACAGAGTGAAAAACTGGAGATTTTCACAGTGACCCGAGTCGTTCATGTTAACTGAGGGAGTTCCTCAGGGTCCTGGTCTTGGTCCTTTATATTGTTAACTTGAAGTCGCACTGTTGTCTCATTTCTTTAGTCCACTTGGGGGCAGCAGCAGAAACACATCCATACCTGTGTGCTCAGTATAAAGACCTGACACGATGACACCGCAGGGCCTCTGACAGGGACGTCGCCATGTTGCACCGCCATGTTTCTACCGTGGCCCAAATGGACATTCACTACGGTGAATACGTATGAAGAAGAAGAAGAAGAAGTGGTAGTAGTCGTCTGGTTTGTTAGGAGTATGAAAAGAAGTAAATTTGGACTAATGGAGGAGCACATGTGTTGTTTAGCTCAGAAAGGGAGCGGCGAGCGGTGACCCTGACCAGTAGATGGCACTAACACCTGCACGCTGAACCTTTAGGTAGCTCACGCTAACACGTTAGCAAACAGCAGCTACAGAGCGACATGATGCTTCATGGTGAGTCCAGTGTTCTCGCTCTGGTAGCTCTGTGATTGGTCCAAACAGGTCAACCCTCCTGAGCGTTCCATCTACATGCAGAACATCAGCTGCAGCCAAGAAGAAGAGGAGCAGCGCGAGGACAGATGATGCAGCGCTCTACACAGTGTTTCACTCGCATCTGCTCCAAAAAAACAGAGACGTGCGAGCCGGATAAACGACGTAGGAGCTCGGTGAAGTAAAAAAGAGTCCTGCATGGTTCTGATTACTGACTAGTCAGTACGGAGCTTTAATCCATCAGAGAACAAGCTGCTTTTCTTGCACAAGGATTTATTTAATGAAACAAAACACAAAAAAGACACTGCTGTAAGTGGAAGTAATGAGGGCCTCACTGACACGTAGAGCAATATGTTTCGATAAAAGCGTCCGCTAAATGAATGAACGTAACGTTCAGCAGCTGAGCTTCCGCTGGTCGTGGAACGTTCTGGACTTCTGTTCTGTGCGGGCCAGTTAATCAGTGTGATTGCACAGTAATGGCCATGATAACAAGTTCGTCCAATAAGACGTAAACTATTTAGTAAATGCTCCGTACTTGTATAGCACCTTTCTAGTCTTTTCGACCACTCAAAGCGCTTTTACACTACATCTGCATTCACACACATTCATACACTGAGCCTAAGTGCTCAAACGGAAACATTCACACTCACTCATACACTGGCGGAACAGCCGCCAGGGGCAATTCAAGGACACTTCGACACGCAACCAGGGGGAGCCAGGGATTGAACCGCCGACCTTCCGATTAACAGCCAACCCACTCTACCTCCTGAGCCACAGCCGCCCCAAGAGTAGAAAGTCTGCGCTGTACAAAGTTAGAGTTAAATAAAAATCTAAAGTTAAGAACCTTGACGTCGCCTTCACTCAGACCGTCGTCAGAACTTTCAGAATGACCCGCTCGGCAGGGTACCGTGAGCTCTGACCCCCCGTACAGGACTTCACACCTCTGAAAACATCGGAGCAAAGTTTCACATCAAATTCAGAATTTGGAGAACTGCTGCAGTCTTCTCCGCCACTGCCACTTGTTGGTGCAAAATGCATTCTGGGATACAACACAGGTCACCACCTGATGCATGCTGGGTGAAACGGCCGGAGCGAGAACACAGTACTGGGCTAGAAGCGGACCTTTGAACTGGAACAGCACTGACGGCGTCTCACAGGAACACAGACTGAGAACGGCCTTTGTATTTTCACAATAATAGTCAGATCCATAAAACACAAACTTTTCTTTTCCTCATCAGTGGACCAATCTGCTGCTTTTCCTGTTGTTCATCGGGAAAAAGGGATTTGAGAAGTGGTTTTATTCAGAGTACTTTATTTAGATACTAATACTTTTGAGTATTTCTGCACAGCTTCTGAGTATTTCTTCTTCTCCACTGTCAGCCAATAGGACGGCTGCTTGGAGACACCTGACGTCCTGAGTGTGTGTCTCTGGAACGCACACTCAGGATTACAGGCAGCAGCTATTTAAGCGCAGTGTGTGTGTTTGTGTGTGTTTGTGTGAGGGCAGCATGCAGCAGATCTACAGACAGACAGACCAACAGTTTGAGGTTTTCACCACCGTCTTCTCCCCGCAAGGTAAACACACACACACACACACACACACACACACACACATACACCCCTGTGGTCGTCATGCAGAGATTGATCGGCGCCGCTGATGTCCGTGTCTCTGTCAGTCTGCAGGTCGAGGACGAGGACGACACGTGTGGACGCTCAGAAGGTAACGTGAAACCCGGGGTTAGGATTCAGCTTCTGATTGGTCGATTCAGCGACTGAATCTCAAAGAAACTGCAGCCTTTATTGACCCTGAACGCCTCCTGAAAACGATCCTTTTAATTTGAAAAGCCTTTAATGAGCACAGGAAGTGGAGTTTATCTGATGAGTTTAAGGTTCAGGGATTCATTTCTTATATTTACCAGGTCTGGACAAAATAATGGAAACATGGCCGTGCCCCCCCCCAACAGAAAGCTACTGAGCTGATTCAGTGTGTGTGAGTTAATCAGCGTTGCGTCAGCGTGACCTCTGACCTCTGAGTATTTACGGCCTGCTGAGCTGAGCTGATATCTAAAGCAGATTAGAGGCGACACTCTGATGAATGATGATACTCTAATGTAGTAATAATAATAATAATGTGTATATTTGTGTAGCTCTTCCATCAGACACATGAAGCCCAGCAGTGATCGGGTGGAACCAGTTTCTTTCTTTGAGAAAGTAAAAGAAAGAAAACTTTTCACTTACTGCAGTTTGTCTATTTGTGTCTCCACCAGCAGAAAGCCTTAGATTCTGCCTCATTTGCATATTTAAACAAAACATTTCAGGAAACTTATGAGGGAAGAACGTCTTGTTTTAATGTAATAAATTAACTGGGGAAACTTCACGACGACATGTTTTGTAAAATTCTCCCAAAATGTGTTGAGTTTTACAAAACAAGTTTTGTTCCTGACGACACTCTGAAGCTTTGTTCAAATATCAGCCTGAACTACAGAACATTTTACTCCCTAAAACATGGCAGAAACAGAGGTTTTTTCTGCCTGTTGACAGTATTTTCTGATTTATGGAGTAATAAAAAGAGAGATCTAAAATGAGTCTAAAGTGCCAACAAAATAAAACCATAATCTGGAACCTGATTTAATCCAGAGTTCAGAATCAGCTTTATTTAGCAGGAACTGGCCTCTGGGTTGTACATTGCTCACGCCGTGCTTACTCATACAAAAATAAAATAAAATCAGACCCAGGCTGCAGCGTAGAGAACACAAATATACACAGTATATAGACGATGCAGGAGTAAATTCTTGTCGTTGCGTACATGTCGGAGGTGTGATGTACAGGTGTGCCATGCTGGAATAAATAAGCATTGTGTGCAGGTGTTATGTACTTGAGGCAGGTGGGTTTGGTGTTCAGTATATAAACAAAAACACAGAAAGCACCACGGAGCGTCATCCAGAGGCGGCCGTCTGCAGAAACCAGTTCTTGAAACAGATTTAGGATCGACAGCACAGGACGCACAGAAACTGCATATTTCATGAGAAACTGTCTCGTGTGCTTATTTAAACCAACTCTACTCTAGTATTTGTACAGTGTGGTATTAGTACTTTTACTCCTGTAAAGTAGTCTGAAGTTAGAAGCAGCAGCAGCTTCCCGTGATGCCGCCTGCACGGGTTTGAGCGTCAGCAGCTTTCAGGACAGGATGTAGAATTTAGTGTTGATCCTCTGGGGGGACCGTGAACTTGATCTGGACTCTGGCAGGTGGTGGTGGCGGTGACGCAGTACCGGTCACGCTGGCCGAAGGAGCTGGACCTGAACCAGGGAGACCTGATCCAGGTCCTGTGTAAGGAGGACGACTCCTGGTGGTTCGGGCGGCTGACAGACGGGAACGAGGGCTACTTCCCCGCAGCCTGCGTGGAGCCGCTCCAGGTAACAACGCTCGCCTGGTCTCTCTGCACCTGCAGTCTGATGACATCATCATCTGGTTCTCCTCTGGTGCAGCTGCAGCAGCTGATTGGCTGGCAGCCAGCTGTGATGTAACGCAGTCTTTCCGCTGCAGGGCGGAGATTCGTCCAGAGCCGCGCCCACGCCGCTGAGGAGGGGTCGGTACCGGTCCCCGTGACGACAGCAGGCGCCCCCTGTGGCTGCACGAGGTAAGTGCGCCTACACAAGTCCAGCTGTCAGAACCCACCACAGGTACTGACGATGTGTTCTGGCTGCAGCGGTCGCAGTACTCCGAAGCTGCTGAGGAAGAACAGCATCCGGAGGCCCCTGGGACTCGATGGGCCCTCAGCGGCTCCTCCCCACGGCTCCCCCAGCCTCCTCCACCGGGTCCTGGCCAAGTCCAGGAGGAAGAGCTGCCCCCTCCTGCCCCACGCTCCTCTGGACACCGGCTCCGACAACAGCGCCTTCCAGGCGGACTAGACTGCAACCAGGCCGCCCCCCCACAAACCAGGACATTTAGGATCTGATTCATGTGTGTAATCGTTTACTGACCTGAAGATCATTTAAAACCAGGTTCCAGAGGAGGTCTGACCTCCGTCAGGTCCGAGTCCCGACGGGCTCGTCTGTTTTTAAAAATGTGTTTAACTTTAAAATCTATATTTTTCTTTTTTACCAACTGTAACAGAATAAACGAGGTCCCGTTCATGTTTCTGTTCTCTGCTGCTGCTCTCAGATCTCTGCGTCCTCATCGCATTAACAAGAAGCTTCAGCCCTCTTTAAAATCCAGACCCAGACTCGGCAGGACCCGCAGCTTCCCCGCTTTCTGTGGTTCAACTGTTCATTTCAGTTCAGTCACTTTAATAATATGACACAGAGCAGGTTCAGACCGTCCTCTGTGTCAGGCAGAACCTGGAGCAGAACCTGGAGCAGAACCTGGACCTTCTGCCTCCATCTCTGGGTTCTTCAGATAAAGAAGCAGGATCTGTTCCATCAAAAACTTTCAGTTCTGTTCTGCGTGACTCTTTACAGAAGGCGAACCCATTCGGGTTTGTTACCAGGTTCACATCATCATCTGATCCTGTGAGCTTTTAAAATCTCTCCAGGCTTCCAAACCCCTCGAGCCTCTCTGACCTGAGACTGCCTCATCTCAGAAGAGCAGCCGAGTGAAAAACGTGATCTCGTTTATTAAACCCAGTCGTGTTTCTGAGTTCTCATCAAGGTTTAAATAAAAGAATGAAGGAAAGTCGACATTCACTTTAACAGAGGTTTATTTCAAAGTGTCTCCTGCTTCGAACATTCAATAAATAAAAGCACTCGGGAGTTTCAAAGAGTTTGATCCAAAGTGATGAGGTTTAAATAGAAAGTCTTTCAGAAAATCAAATAAATAACAGGGCTAAAAATGGACATTAAAAATCTAAAAGCTTGTTTTGGATTCTAAAAATGTTTTCAGTAAAATGTGTGTTTTCTGTAAACTTCTCAATAAATCAATCAAAGCTCAGCTGTACGAACTGAAGAGCCTCTGCAGTGAACGTCCGGACACCACAACCGATTTAAAGTGCTGACTCATGATTCACACGTCGACTCGGCAAATAAAAACAGATTGTAATAATAAAAAGAGTCGACGCGTCGGGATCCGGCCGCTGCTCGTCTCAGACGGACGAGGAGGATGAAGAAAGCAGGTGTCTCTGCAACAATAAAAGAATCTCAATCAACTTTACTGACAAACTGAACGAACACAGGAAACTAAACTCAAGCGTCCAGGAAGAAGGAATACTCAAGTACTACATCACTTGATGTACACGGAGTACGTGGTTACCCGCAGTACACAGAAACCTGTGCGGGTGGTGATCAGCCGGTCTTACAAAAAGGTCACGTGATCATAACGCCACAAGTGTCCTGACCGACAGGGGAGCGATGACTCGGTGCTTGTTAGAGTAATAATACACAATAATACATGGAACCACCTTTGTGAAGGGTTCTGACGGTCCGTCTCTCTGCTGCAGTCTAATTCTCTCCTGCAGTAAAGTAACAAAGATATAAAGAACCAGAAACTGAGTGTGTGTGAAAGAACTCTGAGAGAGTTTTGACCAGCTGTTGACAGGCAGGAAACTCACGCATCATGTAGATAAGAGTTTAAAAACTTGAAACAGATTTACAACAGATATAAAAAGGTGATTAATCCTGGTTAACCTCTCAACATTCCTGTCTAATTCTTCCAAACGCCTCTTCAAGGCAGATCCAAAGTAAACTGAATGTAGTTCTTGAACCGTTTGGAGTAAGCTCGTGTTTTTGGGCTTCTCTGAAAGAGACACTCTGCAGTGTCAGAATGACTGTAAGCACTACTGGAATTGATTAAAAAGGTGGTATTCTGCTCATTTTCAGCTTCAAAATCTTAATTAGAGGTTGTACCAGAACAGGTTTACATGGTTATATATTTTCCTCATACTGCACATTGCTGCAGCTCCTCTCTTCACCCTTGTGTTGTACGCTGCGCTCCTGAGCTACAGAGTGATGCATCTTACTTGCACAAAATCTTTGTTGGGAGTTGCACATGTGCAGTTCCCAGGTAAGGACTACTAGCCAATCAGAAGCAGAGAAGGGCGGGTCGTAAGAAACAAGGTAGTGTGGTCCAAATCAAAGCCGCTTCAGACTGAGACCGTAAGCTAGCAGATGGTAGAAGTTAACATCATTGTTCCTCATCTGACCATCAGGACTAAACGTTGAACTGCTGCCGGTGTTCTGACGATCTGTGCTGCCTCGCCGAAAAATGCTACCATAGTGCAAATCGATAGACTGACTCTAGTCGGCCCTGCTCCGTTTTCCATTGCAGATAGTACCCAGAGACAGTACCTAGCTTGTTGTCATAGCAACGCCACACACAACCGCCGTGACGTAATGTTCAATGCGACACACACACCAGCGATCCACACAGCTTTCTCTTTTTTAAGTTAAAGCGTTTGAACCTCAGAATGTAAAGACAGATAAGCGGTATGAAAAGCTTCCAGCTGTGTTTTCCTCTGCCGTTGTTGCTGCAGCGGTCTGTGTGACAGCGGGAGCAGAGCGCTCTGTGAGCGGGCGGCTGGCCGGCCTCACGCTCCTCCCGCGGGTCACAGCAGGCTTCAACCCGCAGCCACTTGCTGAGCTCCTCAACGCCGAAAATATTCAAGCACGTTTTTGTTCCGCCGTCACTTCTCGTAAAACTGTCAATATTCTAAATCTGCACAGCTGATTTCACCTCAAAACTTCTCAGAAGTGGATTTAGTGATGAAATTCCATACAAAAACTGTAAAATATAAAACTTTCTGTTGCCTCTGTCTGGTGCAGCAATGATGATGCAGTGAATAGTGAATATTCTCTCTGACCAATCAGCAGTCTGTCTGTTTTCACGTTACATTTTAGTTTCCCTCAGCTCGACTGGAACCTCGACGGAGGTGATAAGAAAAAAAGTACCTGGAAACAGGTCCAACATTTCTACAATGGAAAACCAAACAAAGGTGAGTCGAGCCAAAGGGCCTCCGCTCAGACTAGCTTGGTTTGAGGGCGTGCCTGACCCCGCCAGCCGCTTGGCGAGCTTTATGACGCGTTTTCATTGTGACGCCACATGTAAAGGAAGTGAAGGGCTGGACAACAAACCAGCTGTTTTCTGTGGGAGATGGGAACTCCCTTTGGGCTTTTTCACTTTGCAAACCTGTTACATGCACAAAAGAACAGCCAAAAAGCAGAATACCACCTCTTTAAAATAAGTTTAAAACTAATAGATTTAAAATGTTTGCTAACAAATACATGCAGACAGCTACAGCTGGAAGGACCGCAGCATAAAGCCTTACCCAGTCCAAGTTTAAATTTCATACCAGTACCATGAAAAGTTTTCCACAGGTTTTTCTGAGCGTCTGTCTCAGCGTGTTTTTTCTAAATCAGCCCCGCCCCCTGGCGGCAGGCGGCTGCTGCTGCGTCGCTCCGTATCAGCCGGCAGCTCCACGCAGATGTGTTTCTGCTGCCAGATCATGAACCTCCTACTTAAAACTGGATATCGTTATTTCCAGAATCTTATTGGCTACAGGAAGTGCCCGTCATCGGCACAATTGCTTGCAATTGGCTCGGCCTACCCAGGAAATAACAGGGCGCGGGCTCTCATTGGCTGCTGTAGGCTGTGAAAGGGACATGTGAGCTCCTATTGGGTCGGATCAGCTGTCAGTCGAAAGGTCAGAGTTCAGCGGCTAATTTATGAATCTGAAGCGATGCGGCAGCCGTCCCTGAGGATTTACTGATGGAATAATGTGTTCTGGACTAAATATTTTACTGGATTGGATCGTCTGGACCTTTGACAGTAACAAGACCGTTTCTGTTGGAATATAATGGATCGGTGGATTAAGTTACTGTGAGGCTTCAGAGTCGCGTCACTTTTGCTGTACTGGCTGGTCTGACAGAGGCGCTGATTGGACGCGCTGTGGTATCTTCAAATGGTTTGCATCGGTGGATTTAGCTTTCAGACGGTGGATCGCATGAGTATGAGGTTAACATAGCAGCTGTGTGCCGCTGGAAAGTGAAGAGGTTAAATATCTTAGTGGACCGACAGCCCTGGTCTTCATCTAAACAGCGTCCCACACTAACACCTGATTATCTGACAGCAGGTCGGCCTGAAGTCTGAGTGTGCAGAAGTCAGCCATGGTGAACATGACGTGGTCACGAGTCCTGTCCATCACTAACTCTCCAGCTTCGAAGCCTTTCTGCCCTGGGTGATGCCTTGCAGGTGGGCTAGCTAACGTTCTGCCCTGACTCTGCATGTTCTCATGATTCACTGCTGACTGTCAGTCATTTATTCAGATCCTGAACCAAAGACCAGCTGTGTGTCACAGTAAACGTGATGTGCGCAGCGTTCGTGCTCAGCTCAGACCTTTAAGACCTGATCAGGAACTCACCCAGACCGAGCAGCGTTTCCCTCCGTTTGTCCTCCAGCCGCCTTCAGGGACACGAAGCAGAGGCGGGTCGGATCTCCAGGCCGCTGTCCTCACCAGCTGCTGAGCAAGGAGGATCAGGGCTCCACGTAGAGCCGGGCCTGCTCCGTCAGACTCACCTGGTCCTCCGTCTTCCCAAACATCACCACCTGTAGGTCACCGCTCAGCTGTGACACAGAAACAGAGAGCTTCATCGTTCTGCTTCTAACGTCACAGTCTGCTGCCAGACCTGGTCACACTCAAACCAGCAACACGTCTGACTTCCTGTCAGCTGGCAGCCCGCTGGTTCCTGCTGAAGAGGTAAACCTTTAAACAGATTTATAGTTAGATGTTTAATAACCTGTCGGGGACTACTTTCAGCGGCGGCTGAATCCTCATGTTGTTAGGAGATTCGTCCACTGCAGGTTTGATCTGAACATGAGGGTTAATGACTTTATGCGTCCAAAGGGCCCTGATCAGTTTCACCTGCCCCACGTTATCTCCACCTCTCTTCTGTATGTAAGGCAGTGTTTTCCCCTTGTTTAGTGTCACTTCATCTCTGCCTGTGTCGCGAGTTTCCTGCTGTGTCCCGTCCTGTGCTGTGATTTGGACCCTGGACGATCGCCTGTCCCTGCTTTGGATTTTGTTCCCTTTCACTTGGACGGCCCACCTGTGTTCTGACTCTGCGCCACGTACACCTGTAACCCTGTTGCTGCCTGCTGTTCTAGCTAAACGTGGCTCGAGTCTCACCTCTGGATCATTTGTGTCTCAGGAGGAGGAACCTGGGACACAGTCCAGGTCTCAGAGTGTTTGTGGGTCAGTCCTCACCTCAAAGGGGTTCAGTTTGTAGGCAGGACATTCAGGGGAGTGCAGGTAACCGACTGGCTGCTGGCACCACCACACCTCCATCTGCCCCTCCAGCGGGAAGCAGCCGAACTCCTTGCAGCCCAGGACGGAGCCGGACTCTCTCTGGACCTGCTGCTGGATGGACCTGGTCTCTCTCTGATCCTGTGAGATGGGGCTGGTCTCTCTCTGGACCTGCAGGATGGAGCTCAGCAGACTCTCTCCCTGGACCTGGAGGGCAGAAGTCCACATTAGACTGACGGGGACACATTAAAGTGGATTCATCATGTGGGTCTGATCTCCGGGTCCCGGTCTGAAGGTGTAAACGGGTCGGACCTCGGAGCTGCTGCTAGACTGCTGACTGTCAGGATCAGCACTTCGCTCCTCCCACGTCAGATTCATCATCCTGCTCGAACAAACCGACACCTGGACCAGAGACACACACTGAACACCAGAACACGACTCGGGTCTACATGCTCGTCTGAACCCTAACACCTGAACCAGCTGAGTCAGGTCTCACCTCGTCCTGGATGCTGCTGTGGGTCTTCAGCGGTGTCGGTGTTTGAGGGGTGGACCTGCACAGCACTCTGATCCTGTCTCTGATCTCTGAAGGCGTCCTGAACCACAACAACTTCAGTTAAAAACGATTATTGATTGATTATAGTATCCGGATTATGAATGGCAAAATGACACAATGCCTCTCATTTAGCTATTAGCCTTTAAATTAAACCTGACCTTGTTTTAGGCACGTGCTAATTAACAGTCAAGACACTAAAATAAATGCATCTTTTAATGAACGTTTCTGCAGCAACAGAAAGTTCCACTGAAATCACGTCCTGATCTGAGCAGCAGATTAGTGGCAGAGCAGCTGTCACGCCGGGACAAACTGACACTACATACAAAGAATAACGTCATGCATTACATTTGCTGAATTTACAAGAGGGGATCGATAATAATGATTTTGTAGTAGACAGCGTTTCACATTCAACATTTATATAGTTTCCCCAAACTCAACAACTCACAAAACTCTGTGATGTTTTTAAGGGAGTCTCACGCACAGACAGGAGAACTGTTTTCTCTTCTTTAGAAATTGTCCGGTGTTCTTGCTCACTCGGCAGCAACACGTTCTCCAGCTGGGAACGTCGCCATGAGCGATGCATCGTTTATGATTATAAAGTCAGGGCACGTCTGGAACGTGAACGCGGTCGTTGTGCATCATTATATGCTACATAACGTGAAGCTAGCTCGCCAAGTAGCTTACCGAGACGAGTCGTCATCGTCCACAAAGCGCCTCCTCTTCAGACGCTCCGGTGTCTCCAGGAGAGCTCAGCTTTGCTGCAGTTCACGACCTTTCTGGCTGAGTGAAGAGTGAAACGCTGCCACACTCTGGAGGTTTTAGGTGCAGGGTAATATTGAAGTAATTGTTTTTGAACATGTTTTTTTATTATTTCAGGCTGTGATGGTCTTTAGATGAGCTTTTTTATTTATCTGATTGGTGTTAAATGATTATTGTTGGATTAATATTATACGTATTTGCTAGAGCTATTGACAGTTATTTGTAATGTTTCATATTGTTTGCACCTGCCCGGGGACCGCAGATGGAAATTAGCGTTTGCTAACTCTGGTACAAAATATCTTTTCGTAAGATTAATATATTTTGTCCCTGACAAATAAAAATAAAAGAAAGAAAGAAAAGGTGGTGAAGGTTTTACTGCAGCTCTGATGCTGTTTAGTAACTTTACTGTTCACATCACGTTACTCCGTTAAGCTGACGGTGTTGCTACGGCCCCAAGACGTCATGAACCCATAGATTATTAAATTTGTTGGCAATAAATGATTTTTGTCGACTACATCGTTGTTGCACCCCCATGTGAAACAGAGTCAAGTTCAGTCTGACCTCTGACCCCTGACCCGCCCTGACGTACTGGCTGCTGTGGCTGCAGTGCAGACAGGAGTCGTCCTGGGAGCCGGTGGGGGGGTGTTTGAGGGAACAGACAGGGGTGGAGGTGAGAGCCGGACGCTGTAGCTTCAGATCCTCCACACCGCACAGACTGAGGAACTGGAGGGGGACAGCAGGGGGACAGGAGGACAGGTCAGCAGTCTCGGATCAGGACTAAGCCTTTCTGTCTCAGGCGTCAGCTCCTTACCTCGGAGGGGGAGAAGGTCAGAGCTCCCAGCATGCTGCCTCTGCTCCAGGAGGAGGTGGCGTCCATGCAGGAGGCTCCGTCCTCGCTGTTCACCAGCTGCTCCTTCAGACCTGCAACCTTCACACAACACGCTGCTGTCACCTGCAGAGGACTCACCTGATCCACTCCGCTTCATGCTAATCACGGTTAGCGTGTGTCCTGTGTTCACTCGGCGTCAGCTGACACTGAACAAACACACAGCTGCTGATCCAACATGTGTAGCTGTTTATTCTGCTGTGGTTCAGGGATCATTTGGTCCTGACCTGCCCCCTGCTGGAAACCTTTGAACCAGGTACACAGTAGGGCTGAACGATCAGGGGAAAAATCTAATTGAGATTTTTCTGCCAGATATTGCGATTATACTCAGCTGTGCTGCTCGCTCCCAGCAGCTTTCTTTCTGCTCATTTTACAGACCCAGAGCTGTGGAGGAAAAGTGGATTTTTTTTCAGAGCACACGAAAAACTGAGAGCACACTGACCCACGAGGAAATATTAGCCAAATTTAACAAGAAGTGTATTGATAAGAATCTCAAAGTATCCCTTTAGAACAGACAATTTAACTACGTAGCTACGTAGCCATGGTAGAGGCAGGGAGCTTGTGATTGGCGAGCAAGTCTGTCACCCAAGGAGGACAGAATGAATCTGTAACTGCACGACTGTTTAAAATGGCTCAGATGTTTAATTAAGTACATTTTAATCGGCGTCTTCACGATTAGCTAATCGCGTTCTTTCAAATTGAAAACGACCAATGGTTCAGCCCACAGGTACACAGTGTGAAGCTGCTGTTCAGATCAATATCAGGACTTCATGGTGGTTTAATCACCTCAGGGTCTCAGATCAGTGGATCTCGATATTCTGCTCATGGTTTATAAACATTCTGTCATCGTGCTGTATGGATGGATTTATGGTGAAAAGAAATGATTCCCCTTTTTGCTGGGGACCCTGAAACCCCTCCAAGGACCCCTGGGGGTCAGGACCAGCGCCTTAGATAACCATTAGCGATGTTAGCTAGTCGCTCAAGCGTAGCACCAACGTTTTTGCAGCTTAGCTAAAGTTAGTGTTAAAGCACCGAGGGTAAAAGGGCCACAGCGCTACGTTAGCTAGCTCAGCTGTGGTACTTGTTGGTGTGGTCACACTCCACCTCTGACCCTGTAGGTGGTGCTACTCTGAGTGACTTGCTAACACGGCTAACTGTAGCTTCTCTAAGACACAGTGTAACAGTAAATATTAATACGCTCTACACAGCTGATGCAGTAGCTACCAGCTCTGAGGGGACCAGGAGGCGGCGCTAACGTTAATGTAGAGACGGCGTGCGAGCAGAGAACATCATCATCTCAGAGAGAAACACAACTTCTAACGGCCGACTTCTACCGTCTGTTCAGGATCTAACTGTTGTCCAGCGTCTGACTGCGTTCTGCTGCGTTCACAATTAAATTGTTAATCAGATGTTTTTTTCTTACGTAGCTCCTGCTCAGATTAATAACTGACGGGTCGGCGGCGTCTTTGTACAGGCAGGTGGACAGCGATGAGGTCACTTCCTGTGGGCCACGGCTCCAGGTCTCTGGGTTCTGAGATGATATTTAATATTCAGACTTTTAGGTGCAAAACAAGTTCAGTAACTGCAGAGAGATGAACATGAAGACAACATGTAAAGCTGCCAGAGAGACATCAGGACAGAGAGACAGCAGGACAGAGAGACATCAGGACAGAAAAAAACAGCAGGACAGAGAGACATCAGGACAGAGAAACATCAGGACAGAGAAACAGCAGGACAGAGAGACAGCAGGACAGAGAGACATCAGGACAGAGAGACAGCAGGACAGAAAAAAACAGCAGGACAGAGAGACATCAGGACAGAGAAACATCAGGACAGAGAAACAGCAGGACAGAGAGACAGCAGGACAGAGAGACATCAGGACAGAGAGACAGCAGGACAGAGAGACAGCAGGACAGAAAAAAACAGCAGGACAGAGAAACAGCAGGACAGAGAGACATCAGGACAGAGAAACATCAGGACAGAGAGACAGCAGGACAGAGAAACATCAGGACAGAGAGACATCAGGACAGAGAAACAGCAGGACAGAAAAACAGCAGGACAGAGAGACAGCAGGACAGAGAAACATCAGGACAGAGAAACAGCAGGACAGAGAGACAGCAGGACAGAGAGACATCAGGACAGATAGACAGCAGGACAGAGAGACAGCAGGACAGAGAGACAGCAGGACAGATAAACAGCAGGACAGAGAGACATTAGGACAGAGAAACAGCAGGACAGAGAAACAGAAGGAAAGAGAGACATCAAGACAGAAGGACAGAGAGACATCAGGACAGATAGACAGCAGGACAGATAGACAGCAGGACAGAGAGACATCAGGACAGAGAAACAGCAGGACAGATAGACAGCAGGACAGAGAAACAGCAGGACAGAGAGACATCAGGACAGAAAGACAGCAGGACAGAGAGACATCAGGACAGATAGACATCAGGACAGAGAGACAGCAGGACATAGAAACATCAGGACAGAGAAACAGCAGGACAGAGAGACATCAAGACAGAGAAACAGCAGGACAGAGAAACAGCAGGAAAGAGAGACATCAGGACAGAGAGACATCAAGACAGACAGCAGGACAGAGAGACATCAAGACAGAGAAACAGCAGGACAGAGAAACATCAGGACAGAGAGACATCAAGACAGACAGCAGGACAGAGAGACATCAAGACAGAGAAACAGCAGGACAGAGAGACAGCAGGACAGAGAAACATCAGGACAGAGAGACAGCAGGACAGAGAGACATCAGGACAGAGAGACAGCAGGACAGAGAGACAGCAGGACAGAGAGACATTAATCTATTAGACATCAGGACAATCAGAGAATCAGTAATGTAACTAGCTAAGCAGAGACACTGACAGCCTGTATTTCAAAATAAAAGCCTCAGCTGTGAAATAAAAAGCTGATGTACCTCCTCCATCAGCTCCACCGGCGCCGTCAGCTCGCACATGCTCAAAGAGGAGTCGTAGCCCGAGGAGGAGGCGGGGACACAGACGGAGCACAAGTGGGCGTGACTGCTATGACGTCCGCACATGCTCAGATCGCTGGAGGTGCAGCTGGACTCGTCCTTCCCGCTGGAAAGACTGTCCGCCTGCTGGAGGAGACATTAATGTTAGGATCGTCACTGTTCTCACCGTGGGGGACAGTGTGTGTGTGTGTGGGGGGGTGTTGACCTTGGCGGGGATGCTGGCTGTGCTGGGGGGGCCCCGGGAGTTGTAGAGGTGCAGGACCTGCAGGTAGCCCTCCTTCTCCACCTTCCTCTTCAGGGTGGAGTTCCAGTGGTTCTTGATGGAGTTATCGGTCCTGAGAACGAAACACAGAAGCTGGTTCGGGTCCTGCAGAGACACCTGGACCTGGTCTGTCAGTCCTACAGTGTCCACGGTGAGACGTCTCAGCAGCTACTGGGTCAATAAGTCCTCCCAAACACCAACACGCTAACTCTCAGTCTTTAGGCCATACTGCAGGACTGAGTTCCACCCGTCTGTCTCACTTTAGTTTCGCTCTCATGTTGGAATAAATTAAATCAAACAGTCCTATTAGCTGCCTGAGTCCGGAATGAGCATCAGAACCAGAGCCAGGCGAGCTCAGCAGTCTGCCAGGGAACACGGACCGGGACCAAACCCAGCCTCCTTCAGAGAGGAATCCACAGCAGTATTTTTTTAAATGTTTGAAACTAATCTTCCCCCTGCAGAGACAGCTGAGCCTGAGGAGCTGTGGTTCTGAAGCACAGATTAGTGCGACTGATCTTTTTTACATCTTATCAAAAGGTTGCAGCTTCTGCGCTTTGGATTTTGCACCCGGCCATGTTGTGATAATATCTGGATTAGCTGTGCAGCTCTAGTCCACATGTTGCACAGAGTCAGCATCAGGGCTGAGTGAGGTTTAATATGCAGCTCACTGTCTAACATTTAGTCCTCCAGACTTACTCGTCGTCATTTAAAAGCTACCAGCGCTTATTAATTAGTTACTAGTAACTAACTGCACACTGACATCTATGAAGCTCTGCAGTTAAGATATGTATATGTTCCAAATGACAACTAAATTTGTTTAAGTGACTCAGTCATTCATAGTAAAATGGCTTGTTGATTGTTAATTAGCTCTACTGTCTTTTAAATACTGACTGGAGTCAGGAGTAAAACTTAAACTCTTTAATGTTGTGAAAGTAAAAATGCTGAATGCTGACGTCAGTCTGAGATGTCCTTCAAAGGCCACCGTAGGACAGACGTTCCCTCCACACACGTCCTGTGCGGGACCCCCGCCGGTCTACGTACCTGCCGGGCAGCAGCTTGGAGATGTCGGCCCAGCGGTTTCCCAGCAGCCTGTGGGCCCGGCAGATGACGCGGTCCTCCTCCGGCGTCCAGCCGCTCTTCTTCACCAGCGGGTTCAGGTGGTTGTGCCAGCGCTCACGGCACTGCTTCCCGTTCCGACTGTGCAGGTGTTTGGCGATGAGCGACCAGCGCTTCACGCCGTACTTGTGAACCAGCTCAATGACCTGCGCAGGAAGTGACATCACAACATATCAGCGGTTCATAGAGGAGTTCTGGTAAACAGCTACTGGAGTCCAAATGAAAACAGAAAGTGTTTGTGCAGTCCTCTCCCTGCAGGTCCTCCTGCTCATTTTAATGTGTTTAACGCCACATCTACTTCCTGTCTGTCCGTCCTGCAGAGGATCCTCTGCTGGTCTCCCTGAGCTTCCTGGTCTGGTGTCCGGACTTCAGAGTGTGTTTACCTTCTCATCCTCCTCCTGAGTCCAGGGTCCTTTGACCAGCTCTGGGTTCTTTATCTGCTGCCACCTCCGCTGACACTCCACGTCTGACCTCTGACCCTGAGACACAGCGCAGACTCGGTTAGTGACCTCACACTCTGATCGCTCAGCTGATGCTGAGTGTTCAGAGCGCCCTCTGCTGGACCACAAGGGGAGCTTCAGTCACTCTTTAAATCCGGGTTTAAATACTGATCAGTGTGTTTTCCGTCTGTTCTCCTCGTTATCTGGAGACAGCGGCTGTGACCTCACTCTGATAGTGAAGTGAAACTCACAGCTGAGTAACTACACCACAAGACATTAGACGCTAAAAGGTATAAATTCAATACTGATTCCAAAATACTGAACCCTGTTGGATGCTGCAGGATATTTAATAAAGAGCGTTTTAGCATCAGCACGTCTTGTCTTTCAGCTTGTTCCTCTTTTATTTTGGTAACTGTCGTACTTACTGAGCACCTCCTGCTGCCTTCATGAACTCTATTAGACTCACAATCAATAATAAATGTCACATTCTGGCTTCAGCCTGAGTTGCGAGTTCATGCTGCGTTCACGTCCAGTCAGACCTGACAGTAAATATGAGCTTTGGGCTGGTTCTGCAGAGTTCAGCTCGTCACTCTGCGGGTTTGAACGGCAGCATGTTCTGGTTCTGTGGCGTGATGAGAGCACTCACTTTAAAATGAAGAGAGACTGAAGACCAGCTGTTTGATCCAAACTCCTTCAGCAGTCTGTGCAGCTTCTCATCCTGAGGAGGAAGAGCACCATCACCATCATCACCACCATGGCGATCGCAGCAGTGAAGACAGAGAGATGTTCAGGAGAGACAATCAGTCAGAAATACTTTAGAGAAACATGTCCAACGGTGAAGGTGGAAACAACAGCAACATGTGCAGCTGAGAGGACATGGACCCGGTCTCACACAACCAGAGACCAAATGGCAAAACACAAAAACAACCTGAACGTTATCTGGAAGCCAGATATTATGAAAATCAACTGTTGTTTTTAAAACTTTCTGAACTCAAGCTAAACTTTGAGCTGTAAAGCTGTCGCAGTAACTGTAATACTGCAACAACAGCTGTTCACAGCTTCCTGTTTCAGACTTCAGTGCTTCAAAACTTCAATAAGCAGCACGAGTCTGTGACCCGACTTCAAAGCTGGAAGCTGTATGTTTTGCCATGTTTTATGTTTTACTGCTGATTTTTTAAGCTTAGCTTGTGTTAGCATATTGTTTAGCTCATGTGGCCAGCAGGCTGGCCGATGTTGGACCAATGTTGTAACACCGAGGGACAGACAGTCTTCATGTTCTGTGGACCTTTAGCTAAAGTTCCTACAGAGCAGCGTTAACGTTATTCTGCTCCCCACAGGTCTGTGTGTGAATGTACTTTACATGAAGGTAACGCTACAGCTCCGTGTATAAAAGACATTTTAGCCACTGATACACTTACTCTGCATTACTGCACCACATGCAAAAACAACAGAATATGGCGATAATACTTCATTCCTCTGCTGAGCCACGACCAGTCACCTCAGGAGAAATGACTTCCTGAAATGTGTCACCTGATGGACGTGAGTGTGTATGTGTCCTGAACCGGCAGCCAGCTGGGCACGCAGGATGTTTGTGAGTTAGCCCTCAATGCTAACGATGCTAACGTGATGACCGTCACCTCGTCTTTTGTCCATCCAGGCTTCTGTAGAGTCCCTCTGGAGAACCGTCCATCCAACCCTTTCCGTCCTGAACAGCTGGAGCGGCTCTTCGTGCTGAGACAGAAACCAATCATCAGTCAGTCGACAGGAAATCAGCTGCCAACTATTGATCGTAATTATTATTTGGTTAGTTAATGATTTCCTGGTTCCAGCTTCTCTGACGTCTCTGATGTTCAGCCTTTCTCTGTTTCCTTAGTGAAAACAACACCTGAGCTGGACATCAGCCAGGTGACTTCAGATGATCTCAATCACCTGAGCCGACCAGGAAAACTCCTGTTTGTTGTTTATATGTGACAAGACTAATGTTACAGGTGTGTTACAGGTGTGTTACAGGTGTGTTACAGGTGTGTGGCAGGTGTGTGACAGTGTGTGTTACAGGTGTGTTACAGGTGTGTTACAGGTGTGTGTTACAGGTGTGTGGCAGGTGTGTTACAGGTGTGTGACAGTGTGTTACAGGTGTGTGACAGTGTGTGTTACAGGTGTGTTACAGGTGTGTTACAGGTGTGTGACAGTGTGTGTTACAGGTGTGTTACAGGTGTGTTACAGGTGTGTGACAGTGTGTGTTACAGGTGTGTGGCAGGTGTGTTACAGGTGTGTTACAGGTGTGTGGCAGGTGTGTTACAGGTGTGTTACAGGTGTGTGACAGTGTGTGTTACAGGTGTGTTACAGGTGTGTTACAGGTGTGTGACAGTGTGTGTTACAGGTGTGTGACAGTGTGTGTTACAGGTGTGTTACAGGTGTGTGACAGTGTGTGTTACAGGTGTGTGGCAGGTGTGTTACAGGTGTGTGACAGTGTGTGTTACAGGTGTGTTACAGGTGTGTTACAGGTGTGTTACAGGTGTGTGACAGTGTGTGTTACAGGTGTGTGGCAGGTGTGTTACAGGTGTGTGACAGTGTGTGTTACAGGTGTGTTACAGGTGTGTTACAGGTGTGTGACAGTGTGTGTTACAGGTGTGTGGCAGGTGTGTTACAGGTGTGTGACAGTGTGTGTTACAGGTGTGTGGCAGGTGTGTGACAGTGTGTGTTACAGGTGTGTGGCAGGTGTGTGACAGTGTGTGTTACAGGTGTGTGACAGTGTGTGTTACAGGTGTGTGGCAGGTGTGTTACAGGTGTGTGGCAGGTGTGTTACAGGTGTGTGACAGTGTGTGTTACAGGTGTGTTACAGGTGTGTTACAGGTGTGTGACAGTGTGTGTTACAGGTGTGTGTCAGGTGTGTGACAGTGTGTGTTACAGGTGTGTGGCAGGTGTGTTACAGGTGTGTTACAGGTGTGTTACAGGTGTGTGACAGTGTGTGTTACAGGTGTGTGGCAGGTGTGTTACAGGTGTGTGACAGTGTGTGTTACAGGTGTGTTACAGGTGTGTTACAGGTGTGTGACAGTGTGTGTTACAGGTGTGTGACAGTGTGTGTTACAGGTGTGTGACAGGTGTGTGACAGTGTGTGTTACAGGTGTGTGACAGTGTGTGTTACAGGTGTGTGACAGTGTGTGTGACAGTGTGTGTTACAGGTGTGTGACAGTGTGTGTTACAGGTGTGTTACAGGTGTGTGACAGTGTGTTACAGGTGTGTTACAGGTGTGTGACAGTGTGTTACAGGTGTGTTACAGGTGTGTGACAGGTGTGTGACAGTGTGTTACAGGTGTGTGACAGTGTGTTACAGGTGTGTTACAGGTGTGTTACAGGTGTGTGACAGTGTGTTACAGGTGTGTTACAGGTGTGTTACAGGTGTGTGACAGTGTGTGTTACAGGTGTGTGACAGTGTGTTACAGGTGTGTTACAGGTGTGTGACAGTGTGTTACAGGTGTGTTACAGGTGTGTGACAGGTGTGTGACAGTGTGTTACAGGTGTGTTACAGGTGTGTTACAGGTGTGTGACAGTGTGTTACAGGTGTGTTACAGGTGTGTGACAGTGTGTGTTACAGGTGTGTGACAGTGTGTGTTACAGGTGTGTTACAGGTGTGTGACAGTGTGTGTTACAGGTGTGTGACAGGTGTGTGACAGTGTGTGTTACAGGTGTGTTACAGGTGTGTGACAGTGTGTGTTACAGGTGTGTTACAGGTGTGTGGCAGGTGTGTTACAGGTGTGTGGCAGGTGTGTTACGGGTGTTTGGCAGGTGTGTTACAGTGTGTGTTACAGGTGTGTGGAAGGTGTGTTACAGGTGTGTGGCAGGTGTGTTACAGTGTGTGTTACAGGTGTGTGGAAGGTGTGTTACAGGTGTGTGGCAGGTGTGTGGCAGGTGTGTGGCAGGTGTGTTACAGGTGTGTGGCAGGTGTGTGGCAGGTGTGTGTTACAGGTGTGTGACAGTGTGTGTTACAGGTGTGTGGCAGGTGTGTGGCAGGTGTGTTACAGGTGTGTGGCAGGTGTGTTACAGGTGTGTGGCAGGTGTGTGTTACAGGTGTGTGACAGGTGTGTGGCAGGTGTGTGTTACAGGTGTGTGACAGTGTGTGTTACAGGTGTGTGACAGTGTGTGTTACAGGTGTGTTACAGTGTGTGTTACAGGTGTGTGACAGTGTGTTACAGGTGTGTGACAGTGTGTGTTACAGGTGTGTGACAGTGTGTGTTACAGTGTGTGTTACAGGTGTGTGACAGTGTGTGTTACAGGTGTGTTACAGGTGTGTTACAGGTGTGTGACAGTGTGTGTGGCAGGTGTGTTACAGGTGTGTGACAGGTGTGTTACAGGTGTGTGGCAGGTGTGTTACAGGTGTGTTACAGGTGTGTGGCAGGTGTGTGTTACAGGTGTGTGACAGTGTGTGTGGCAGGTGTGTTACAGGTGTGTTACAGGTGTGTGGCAGGTGTGTTACAGGTGTGTTACAGGTGTGTGACAGTGTGTTACAGGTGTGTTACAGGTGTGTGACAGGTGTGTGTTACAGGTGTGTGACAGGTGTGTGTTACAGGTGTGTGACAGTGTGTGTTACAGGTGTGTTACAGGTGTGTTACAGGTGTGTGGCAGGTGTGTGTTACAGGTGTGTTACAGGTGTGTGACAGGTGTGTTACAGGTGTGTTACAGGTGTGTGGCAGGTGTGTGACAGTGTGTGTTACAGGTGTGTGACAGTGTGTGTTACAGGTGTGTTACAGGTGTGTGACAGTGTGTGTTACAGGTGTGTGACAGGTGTGTGTTACAGGTGTGTTACAGGTGTGTGGCAGGTGTGTTACAGCTGTGTGTTACAGGTGTGTTACAGGTGTGTGTTACAGGTGTGTTACAGGTGTGTTACAGGTGTGTGGCAGGTGTGTGACAGTGTGTGTGACAGGTGTGTGTTACAGGTGTGTTACAGGTGTGTGACAGTGTGTGTTACAGGTGTGTTACAGGTGTGTTACAGGTGTGTGGCAGGTGTGTTACGGGTGTGTGACAGTGTGTGTTACAGGTGTGTGGCAGGTGTGTGACAGTGTGTGTTACAGGTGTGTTACAGGTGTGTGTTACAGGTGTGTGACAGTGTGTGTTACAGGTGTGTTACAGGTGTGTGACAGGTGTGTGTTACAGGTGTGTTACAGGTGTGTGACAGTGTGTGTTACAGGTGTGTTACAGGTGTGTTACAGGTGTGTTACAGGTGTGTGGCAGGTGTGTTACAGGTGTGTGACAGTGTGTGTTACAGGTGTGTTACAGGTGTGTGGCAGGTGTGTTACAGGTGTGTGACAGTGTGTGTTACAGGTGTGTGTTACAGGTGTGTTACAGGTGTGTGACAGTGTGTGTTACAGGTGTGTTACAGGCGTGTGGCAGGTGTGTGACAGTGTGTGTTACAGGTGTGTGACAGTGTGTGTTACAGGTGTGTTACAGGTGTGTGACAGGTGTGTGTTACAGGTGTGTGTTACAGGTGTGTGTTACAGGTGTGTGTTACAGGTGTGTTACAGGTGTGTTACAGGTGTGTGGCAGGTGTGTGACAGTGTGTGTTACAGGTGTGTGACAGGTGTGTGTTACAGGTGTGTTACAGGTGTGTGACAGTGTGTTACAGGTGTGTGGCAGGTGTGTTACAGCTGTGTGTTACAGGTGTGTTACAGGTGTGTGTTACAGGTGTGTTACAGGTGTGTTACAGGTGTGTGGCAGGTGTGTGACAGTGTGTGTTACAGGTGTGTGACAGGTGTGTGTTACAGGTGTGTTACAGGTGTGTGACAGTGTGTGTTACAGGTGTGTTACAGGTGTGTTACAGGTGTGTTACAGGTGTGTGGCAGGTGTGTTACGGGTGTGTGACAGTGTGTGTTACAGGTGTGTGGCAGGTGTGTGACAGTGTGTTACAGGTGTGTTACAGGTGTGTGTTACAGGTGTGTGACAGTGTGTGTTACAGGTGTGTTACAGGTGTGTGACAGGTGTGTGTTACAGGTGTGTTACAGGTGTGTGACAGTGTGTGTTACAGGTGTGTTACAGGTGTGTTACAGGTGTGTTACAGGTGTGTGGCAGGTGTGTGTTACAGGTGTGTTACAGGTGTGTGACAGTGTGTGTTACAGGTGTGTTACAGGTGTGTGGCAGGTGTGTGACAGTGTGTGTTACAGGTGTGTGACAGTGTGTGTTACAGGTGTGTTACAGGTGTGTGACAGGTGTGTGTTACAGGTGTGTTACAGGTGTGTGTTACAGGTGTGTGTTACAGGTGTGTTACAGGTGTGTTACAGGTGTGTGGCAGGTGTGTGACAGTGTGTGTTACAGGTGTGTGACAGGTGTGTGTTACAGGTGTGTTACAGGTGTGTGACAGTGTGTTACAGGTGTGTGGCAGGTGTGTTACAGCTGTGTGTTACAGGTGTGTTACAGGTGTGTGTTACAGGTGTGTTACAGGTGTGTTACAGGTGTGTGGCAGGTGTGTGACAGTGTGTGTTACAGGTGTGTGACAGGTGTGTGTTACAGGTGTGTTACAGGTGTGTGACAGTGTGTGTTACAGGTGTGTTACAGGTGTGTTACAGGTGTGTGGCAGGTGTGTTACGGGTGTGTGACAGTGTGTGTTACAGGTGTGTGGCAGGTGTGTGACAGTGTGTGTTACAGGTGTGTTACAGGTGTGTGTTACAGGTGTGTGACAGTGTGTGTTACAGGTGTGTTACAGGTGTGTGACAGTGTGTGTTACAGGTGTGTTACAGGTGT